TTATGCACATTATCACGCAAGCCAATCGATTGATCACTTCATGAAATCAAAAAATAAGACAGTTATTCCTTAATTAGAATTAACTTCTTTATTGAACTTATTTGCTTTAAGGGTCCTCCACACACCCACAGCATATGATCTCATATTATTGAGCATTACTTTTCACAAGCATACCGGGTATCAACCTTTAAAAACTGTCCAGGGATTAAAATGTAATTTATAAGGATTTTGTAAAATAAAAATTTCACAAGATTCAAGAAATTTTTCCCAAGGCGTTTTCATACTTAGCACAACAAATTTTGTCTTACCCTTTCGTATATTTCTAAGCTCACAGAATAATCATAACAAGAGGCCCGTGGGCCACATCGCTCACCTGAGCACTAAGGGTAGGAAAAAGTAGATTATGGTTTTTTATTGTAAAGTTTAAATCCGAAAGTTTCCCATGACCAATCATGGATTTGCTATTTTTAGAAAATGATTTTTAAAGATTTTTCCTATATATTTTCTGTAAAAGTTTGGTCGGCAATTTTGGCACACCCCTACCCCTATCATGATTTGAACACATTTTAATCTACACTACTTGAGCATGCTCACATATAAATATGATGAATTATGGCTTTGCAATCTTAGAAGATGTTTAAAGAATTTTAGATATATTTCCATGTAAAAATTTGGTCAGCCATATACTTTCCTGCCTGAGCATGTATAAATATGATGAATTATGGCTTTTGATAAGAAGTCAATTTAAAGAATTTTCCTATATATTTCTAAAAACAATCACCATTTTGGCCCTGCTCTATCCCCGGGGGTCATGATATGAACAAACTTGAATCTACTCTACCTAGCATGCTTCCATATAAATATGATAAATTATGGCTTTGTAATTCTTTAGAAGAAGATTTTTAAAGAATTTTCCTTATATTTCTACGTAACACTTTGGTCGGCCAACTGAGCAACAACTACATGATTTGAAAATCTTAACTACTTAACAGCATGCTTCTATATAAATATGATGAATTATGGCTTTGTAAAATAAGAAGATTTTTAAAGTATTTTCCTATATATTTTATGTAAAACTTTGGTCAGCCATTTTGCGGTATTTACCCCTGGGGGTATGATTTGCACAAACTTGAACTACTTGAATGTTTCCCCATAAGTTTAATCTTTCCTGGCACAGTGGTTCTTGAGAAGTATGCCACCAAATTTTTATCAATTCCCAATTATCTTTTGAGGGCGTAGCCCTTCATTTGAACAAATTTGAATCCCCTTTACCCAAGGATACTTTGTGGCAAGTTTGGTTAAAATTGGCCCAGCGGTTCTTGAGAAGAAGTCGAAAATGTGAAAAGTTTACAGACAGACGAACAGAAACCGGACATAATGTGATCAGAAAAGCTCACTTGAGCCTTCGGCTCAGGTGAGCTAAAAACTTAATTTTTTCAATCAACATATTTTTTTACAGAAATGCATTTTATGTATAAAAAGTACATAAAACTAATTTTCTCTGAAATTTATTCATGTAGAAAAATCAATAAGGACTCCTTTTTTAGAGAAGAAACATTAATGAATTACATTACATCGAAAAATTTTAAAATTAAATGCACTGATTTAGAAAAAAAAAAACATTTTCAAAATCTTTGGTATCAAAGTTCCTTTTTGGAGTTATCTGTTGCCCGGGACTCAAAACCTTTGGCAAGTCTCCTCATACGTCACCATACTATGTATATTTAGTAATTACTGGCCACTGAACTGGACAAATATAAAAGAGGAAATCTAGAAACGCACACTATTTTATCAATATTTATAAACACACAATGAGATTTGTATTTTGAAACGCGCAAATTAGTGTGCCGAAATTTCATCCATCAAAACAGACTCATTGATTAGCTGAAAGTATAAATAACCTAAACGTTTCCTCATATACCCATTGTAAAACTGGCCATTTTGTAGTATTTGATCATACATTTTATCTTCACTATATGACACATGGTGTGGAACCCTCCAATGAACATATATTATGGTATATTAATCTATGTAAACAAAACATGTGTTTACATATTAAAGAATTTTTTAAATTTTCAAAAAAAAAATTTTTTCTGCACATTTTTTTCCTGTCATGATGCAAACAAGAAAAACTGAGCATGAGCATTTAGATGAGACTGTATTTATAGTTATAGAACACCAATATGGATTTAAATTTTTGAAAATGCAATTTTTAAAATTTTCCTATATATACACCGCTCTATCCCTTTTCAATGAGCTTGCCTGACAAACTTGAATCTACATATACCTGAGCAGTGCTTCCATGAGCAAATATGATGAATTATGGCTTTTTATTAGACACTTGTAAAAATATTTAATTATTTAACTTATAAGAACGATTTTCAAAGTTAACAAAAAATATTTCTATGTGCAGTCCCACTCCTCGGCCTTATCTAAGGAAGAAGCCCTCAAATGTATTGTTAATCTATACGAACTTTTCACAAACTTTGAAATACATCGATGATTAGTTTATTTTTATTAATTTTGAAAATGACTTTAACTCGTTTTTAATAAACATAAACATGATGATGTCACGAAAAGACCCCAAATGATGCGATTGACCTTTTGCAAGTAGATTGATCTACCATAAAAAAACTTTGAAATCTGTTGTCAAATCAATTTTAAACACAGGCGCGGTTGAAATTGGCCCAGCGTTTACCAGGGGGAATCCTTTTTCTTGCTTGTGAAAATTTACAGTATCTGGAACATTTTAGAACAAATGAACGGCGTATTAGTGCAAATTTAAAATGTAGAATTTTTTTCGATCAACATATTTTTTACAGAAATGTATATACATTTATTATATAAAAACGTACACGTACAAAAGTCGTACAAACATTTTCTCTGATTTAATACATTGTACAAAAATTTAATAAATTGACAAACGATTTAACTCTTTTTTTAAGAAAACAAACGATATATTTACTATTGTTTTTTAAATCGCTCAAACTGATGTATTAAAAACAAACGATTTTTAAATCGTACAAACGATTCAATAAATTGTACAAATACAGATGAGATTTGGACAAAGTCCTACAAACGATTTAACCATACAAATTGTATATTTATTAAATTGTACAAACGATTTATTGGCCAGCGATTTCTAAATCGTACAAACTGAAAAGATTTAAAACGACAAACGATTTACTAAATCGTGATTATTATTAATCGTACAAAACTAAATCGTAGCAAACGGCGCGTACAAACGATTTACTAAATAGATTTTAAAAAAAAATTCTACATTGTTATTATGGCACTGAAAGTAAAATAACCTCTGAAAGTATTTTCTTGTCAATATGCCTTTTATTACGAACTATTATGTTTTTTTAACATAAATGAAACGTTTAGATGTTGTCCTTTTATTTAAAAAAAATCACAAGATTTTCAAAATTGGTCACACAGATCGTTTGTGGTGATCATGTCCATGTAAAATTTAGAGAAATCATTTCTTTGTTTTGCAATTTTGATACATGATATATGTTGTTTTAAAATCGCTTCACATTTGTAGACAGAATTTCTGCATAAATCATAAAAGATGGAAGTAAATAGTATTTAATTCCAATAGTTAGCACCCCCATTCACACATATATGAAAAGGCGCATGGTGTGCGCGAAAAGAGCGATTCCCTTCGTAAAACATATATCCAGTAGTATTAGATCTATGCCTGAAAAAAAGATAAACAAAACGGTAACATTTCTGTTTACATACCCACAGGTTTGGAATACTGAATTATTTTGTATCAGTAAAATCAAATGAAAAATTTTTTTAAAATGCAAAAAGATAAATCAATTGCACAAAATCCCAAGTTAAATATTTTTATACAGCCTGAACTGTCGTCTATTCTGATTTTAGAAAAATAATTGATGGATGTATATGGACAGGTACAGTATACTGGCATTTTTATTCCCGTTAGTCCAAAAAATCGTCTAACAGGTCGAAAAAAAATTATTCAGTATATTGATTTGATTGCTGATTCACATACAGATGGATCAACAATGTGACCCTGTCCTTATTCACTGTCGTTTCAGTGAGCTTGTCAACATTTTAAGCCCCAGGGTTCTAAGTAGAGGGCCAAACAGGCATGTAATTATATATGTGTATATTTGTAATATCATAAAAGATTCTGTCAATAAGTTGAAGCATGTTGGATATAAAGTACACAATACATAAGTAAAACAAGATGTGTTTGTGAAACACTATGCAAGTCCGGCGGAACAAAAATCGAAAAAGCTATTTATAGCATACTAGCATAGGTAACAGTCAAGGTCACAAGGTATTGACCTTGGTGTAAGTTTGAAAGAAAATGATTAGTGAAGTATGCAACCAAAATAAAGGTCTATCTTTCATGGTTCAAAAGTAATGGCGAAGGTTAACGTTTGCAGACAGAAAAGCTATTTTTAGCATATAGGTCACATTCAAGTTCACTAGGTCATTGACATTGGTGTTATTTGAAAGAGCGTTATTAGTGGAGTATGCATACCAAAATGAAGTTTCTACCTTTCATGGTTCAAAAGTTATGGCAAAGGTTAAAGTTTGCATACAGAAAAACTATTTTTAGCATATAGGCCACATTCAAGGTCAGGGGTCATTCATATAAGGTGTCATTTGAAAGACCTTGATTAGTGGAGTATGCATACCAAATATGAAGTTTCTACCTTTCATGGTTCAAAAGTTATGGCGAAGGTTAAAGTTTGGGGAGAAACAAAAAACATTTTTCAGACAGACAGACAGACAGGACAAAAACAATATACACTAAATCATAAGTATAATAAAGTAAACATATTGTCACAAGCAGCAAAGTAGGATCATAAATCTGTGTACTTATAAGAATATAACATACGTGTATATTCAAATAAACAAGTAACATTTTGTAATACTTTGATCCCACTGGATATTAAGTTTACAATACACAAACAAAATGAAATGAACATATCAACACAAGCAACAAAGGTCGATCGCTAATCTGTGTTTTAAATAAAATATGCAATTGTGAATGAACATATTCCCTTCTTGTCCGACACTTCCATACAAATTTGAACTTTTGCAGCTACTCTAAAATAGGTACAAGCAGTATAGCATACACATGCATTCACATAAAATGAACTCTCCAGCACTCTCCATTCTTATAAGATTAAGTAAAACAAGCAATTCTTTAATATTCTACACAATATTCAATGAGCTCCTAATCTGTAGCTCCTTTATTACGGTTGATTACAGTTTTACTTCTTGGACATTTCATTGGATTGTCTCTAAACCTGTTTGGATTTTAACAATTCTATAACATTATCCTTTCATGTAAATTGATTGATTTTTTTGATTAAATGCTATACATTTGTTAAAAGCACTATTATCCGATTAACGATGAAGCCATTATCTCCAACCTAGCAACGGTAACATTCCTTGACTACGGGTGATATTCCATAAAAATAGCGACTGCACAGAATTCATATGCACAAGGCCCACTGTCATTGAATTTTATCTGAGGGTTGGACGCCGAGCTCATGTTTCGTTAAAAATGTTAAATAGATCTGTCCTTTATTTTGGTAAGCCTTCTTTCCATATTTTCTGGGTTTATTTGCATAGCTTCCTTTCAATTTCTTTAATATCTAGTAATAGCTGGCTAAGAAGCACATAAAATGTCCAGTTTCTCACATTAGGTTCAATGTTTTGAGCACCATGATAATTGTAATCCCAGTGGAATGCTTTTCGGTAAGTCCGTCCTTATTCGTCATTATCAAACAGTTCCCCATCCAGAACAAATTTAATCATCCATTTTATAAATGGGAGCCATCCAACTGCGTCAATTAATTAAAGTCAGAGGGGAAGTAAATCCTGTTTAATCCTAAAAGTACCTCAGTGCACGATTCTAAAGGCTGTCTATAGGTGCGAAACTATTGAAACTCTATAAACAGAAAGGTTATCCTAAAGGAATACAAAACATATATTAAGTTATGAACCAAATATCATAAGCATTTTCGTAGTGACTACTAGTCTCTTTCTAAAATTTTGATTTTTCAGGGATAAAAATCATGATTTCTATATTGCTTCACACTTGATAAAAACTGATTTTCAATTTTGTAAAAGTTAAAGTCACTCTGCATATGTTCGATGCATAAAAAGTTGACTTTGGGCAGCACTGCCTGTCAGCATCAATTTTGATTTAAATTTTTCACATCTAACTTATCTGACATTAATTTTTGCATACTGGACATGAATTTCTCCAACATATCATGTTGTTTCAATTTTTCTATGATTGCTGAAATAGCATCTACATCTAAAGCCATTATAAATGGTATTAATGTTATCCAAGTCCTTTTTTCCAGTGAATCTTTGGCAGATATCCGACATTGTCGACAGAGTGTTATTGGATTCTGTCCGAGAGCAGTCAATCTATTTCGGATTGACCTAATTCTCTGGATATCGTCACCCACTGTCACCTCTCATGCTGCTGGCTCTTTTCCCCACTTTTCTTTTGTTGGTTAACGGATCTTTGAACAAATGTTTCTTTTCAACTTGTGTGTTAATGAAATATCAAATTCCTCATATATCCACATGTTTCATATCCAGTTTGTAATTATAATTAAGCTTATCCAAAGACTTTAACCAATGACTCTTTCAATATCTTCAACCAGGTGTTAAAGAATTCATTATTTACTAGTACTGAAAACATTCTATGAGTAAAAATTATTATTTCTGAATGGTTCAATTCTTCAAATTCGTTTTAATGTCCTCATTTGAGATTTTAATTCTTGAACATCTGATACGACTGTCTTCAACAGTTCACGTTGTTCGTGTTGATCCTTGACCAACAGTTTATGTTGTTCATGTTGATCCTTGACAAACTTTTCTATAATAGCTTTAATTGCATCTTCACCTCCTTCTTTTAAAGTCAGTTTATAAATGCTATTAAGGTTGTCCAAGTATTTCTTCCCAGTGAAGGTTTCCAATCTTTGGCAGATATCCGACATCGTTGTCCAAGTGTCATCGAATTCTGTCTGAGAGATGGAGGCTGAACTCACGTGTGCAGTCAAGCCGTTTCGGATTGACCTAATTCTCTCGATATCGTCACCCACTGTCACCTCTCCTGCTGCAGGCTCTTCTCCCCATTTTCCTTTTGTTGGCTTAGGGATCTTTGAACAAATGTTTCGGATTAATGTGTATGTTAAAGAAATGTCAAAGTTCTTATATCCTGAATGCTTAGCATCTAGCAAGAGTTGTTCTTGCTCTGGGCGCAATCTTTTGTAAGCTGGTGATGCTTTAGCTTTCTTTTCAATATCGATTGGAGGAACTTCCATCTCTAGTATATCTCTGTATGCCTGATTTAACACATCGTTTGTTGCCATTCCAAGTTTTGCGAATCTTGATCGTCCCTCAAGTTCATGTCCACCAGAGGCCACTGGAGTTTTAGAGACACTCATTTTTGTCTGAAATAAAATTAAACTTTCTTATAAAAAAATTGTACATATTTTATTAAAATATATAATATAGTTAATTTTTGCATCACAAATCAACAACAAAGAAGTATTCGCAAATGGTTGGATAATCAAAATTAGTTTCACAGCAATTTTTTATTAAAACAATATAAGTCTACACTTTGTTTCATAAGATTAAATTTATTTTTTCAGCTTCAAGAATTTAAATTTAATTTTACAATTGTCAGCCTGATATTTTTAGTATCAATAATGTCAAAGAAATAAAACTTGTGTGAAAGGAAAATATTTTAATGCAATGAATATATATGGATTATTACAGAAGGATTTTACAAATCCACAGTAACATTTTTTATTATCAGATCGAGAGCAACGATTTTTGGTGAAAATGGGTATTTGGTTTACAATTTACATTTAGAACTATATTTTCTTAACACAATAGGTCATGTAATTCATAAATATTAAAGAAAAATTAAAATAATTATCCATTAACTAAAATATTTTATTTTTTGGAAAAAAATATATGAAATCAGGAATTCTCCTTGTGTGGCTTAGATTTAATAAGGCATAGTAAGAATCAATATATATACTACACACCGAACAAGATGATTCTACATACATGTACCTTTTATCTAACTTAGGTTAAGTTAAGATTAAACAATATTTACCTTTTCCCAAAAACTCATGAAAGTCAGAAGTTTTAAGTCATGTAAATAAATAAAATCAAATATAATGTACATTTATCATATGTTTCTCCTGTTATTTAATTTAAGGAAGTTAAACACTTGCATTACCGTTTTCCCAAAAACTCAAAGTTCTGTACATTTACATATGTTTCTCCTGCGTTTCTTGCACTGCTTTGATTTTGGACAGCTCACTTGCAAGGGTGAAAGATAGATCTCTCTCATCACAAATAATATTTTGACATTTGTATCCTCTGTGGAATATTTTTGTGTCAATAAATGTTTCTGTCAATTTTTCTACTGCTTTTTCAATAGAATCTCCAATTTCATTTGATACTTCTTTGTCTATAGGCAAGTCTTTGATTCTAAGCACTTGCAACTGGATATCGTCATTGCATATGCCAACAACAACCGTGTGTTCATTGTGATCAAACACTGCCGCTGTTTGATAAAGACATAAATTTCCTTCATTATCATTATCTTTCGCAAGGCTCCATCCTGGAAAACTCATGCAGTATGCTACTAGTCTGTAGAACAGAAACATGGCAAAAGAAGTGAATCGATAGCATAAAATGGAAGATCTTTCCGGATATTTTGTAAGGAAGTCGGCTGCTTTAAACTGCTTTTTGTTCATACACGGGACATACCATGACATGCCATCTCCTGATACAGCCTCATCTGCATTCAAATGTACAAGCATTTGAAGGTTCTCCATGTATGGCATAATTTCATTCTTATGTTTCACGTAAGAGGGTTCATCTTTCCACAAAGCATCTATCACTTTATCTTTAAGTTCCCCTGTTTTGTTGAAGGATTTCCACTCTTTAATTAATTTCCTTTTACAGTCCTTAGTGATGTGGTTTTCATCAGCAATTATCTTGCTGAAAGCATTAGCAAACCACTGAATGTCTAATATATGATGTTCCCTCAATTTCCCTTCTTCAAAATACAAAAGAAGGCCATTATCATGGAATAATTTTAAAAATTTCGATATTTCCTCCTCATTTTTTATTTGGTATTCACGAGGAAGAGATGCATTAAGCCTTTCAATTTCCTTCAGGGACAAAATCTTCCAGCCGCCTTCATACAATAACTGTTCCATTAGAGCCCATGAAGAAGGCATTTCAACTTTTGTATTGTTCTCATCTTTGAATAGTTCCACTATGGACTTTTTCATTGACACTAGCATTTCCTTGGTATTATCATTAAGTGTCTTCAGACCTACTGCATATTCCCGATCATTCAGAGACTCACTTAACCACTCTCTATCCTCATCTGGTACAGCTTTCCAAAACTCTCCAAAATACTTCTCTATTTCCTGAAGAAGTAAACAAAGCACGCATACTAGACATATTAATTTATAATTGTGAGCTATGATTTTATCACTGTAAATGCTAAATTGTGTGTTGATGTCATGTACATGTATTTTGGATTTAAACTGGCAATTAGTTTTAACTGATTACAGATAAAACTGGAGAACTCGTGTCTTTTTTAACTCAGTGAATAGGTGTCGATAAGCAATGGTCATTTTTAAAAGAAACCTGTTTACACTAGTCTACTATAAAACTACAAGTTAATTACCCGTGCGTGTGAATTGCCCTCATTATATGCAATATCATCCGATGATTTGACAAGCACTGAGGCGGTTATGCCCCTTTTCAATTATTTTCATCAATTAATTTGCCAATAAAGAGAGAACTGTCATTTTATCTAACCATCTATCAACACGGGCGATAACTCAAACTCAGTGCATGTACTAGAAAGTTCCAAATGTAAACGCGGCGTGTAAATGTAGGTGAAAAAACCAAACGTTGAGAAAATTAGTTATATTTTTTCTTCGTTTGGATTATACTTTAGGTAAAAAGGCATATATACAACCTCTGAAATGTTTGTTATAATTGATATAGAAATTATTTTCCGTGCAAATCCTTTCGTATTCAAAATTGTTTGGAGCGATTTTGCAATATCTTGCCACGTTGCGAGTATATTGGTGGTATTCTAACTGAGCATATTATTTGAAACATAACCTGATATGAAAATCTTCAGTGATTTTATTTTTAGCACCAATGACATTTCGCAAAATTTTGAAATGTAAAAATTAATCAACGGCTTTTTGACCCAAATTCGCAAAAATAAATCGGTGTAAAATTTTCCAGATTTACGGTATTTGAAAGAGGAACCATTGATCATCACAACAATACACTTGCTTAGCTTGGTAACTTAATACCCATTGGCAGGGTAAGGTAACAAAAAATGCATTTCAACTAATCAGTAATATATTTAGCAATAGTCAGTACTAGTGCCCTTACCACACACGAATCCCTGACCCTTAGGCCTAGATCCACACACTGCAAAATTTTTGAAAAGGCATCTTTCCTTTCAAAAAATTTGATTACATGTAATATCAAGGTGCAGATTTCAAACAATTCATTCATTTTCAGTATATACATGTAAGTACAGCCCTCATCCTCTATGGTACCCCTGATCTTGAAGCCTTGAAATTCACAATTCTGCAAGTTTAGGGTTGTTGCTCATCATAAATATATAGGTAGTTCATCTGCTTCATATCCAGAGACAGAGAAGAAGATTTTTTCAAAGAATTCAAGTATTTTCACTATATAACTAATAGAGCCACGCACTAACACCAGAACTCCTGACCCTGGGGCCATACAATTCACAATTTTGGTAGAGACACTCTTGCTCATCATAACTATGCACTTAGTTACTTTATTTAATACCTAAGAGCAGATCGAGCAGAAGATGCACTGAGTTACTTTATTTAATACCTAAGAGCACAGAAGAAGATTTTCAAAGAATTCATGTATTTTCACGATATAATCAATAGAGCCCCGCCCTTACACCAGAACCCCTGACCATGGGACCATAAAATTCACAATTTTGGTAGAGGCACTCTTGCTCATCATAATTATGCACTTAGTTACGTCATTTAATACCTAAGAGCAGAGAAGAAGATTTTCAAAGAATTCATGTATTTTCTCTATATAATCCATAGAGCCCCGCCCTTTAAGGTTGTTTGTATTACTGTAACAGTAATCAGTAACAAAATGTCAATCGATGCATCCTCTCTGTAGAAATTCATCTGCAACAACCATAACGTTTTTCTTGCCTAAAAATTAAACATAATATTGTTGTTCTGTAGTAGAATTAATTGAAGATACAATTGATTTTATTTAATATTCAAGCTATTATTCATTGTGAGCGTTTTGAAAGAAATTGGTTTACAGCTGTTGCTATTTTCTACTTCGAATGCATCCACTGACACATTCGGTCGCGTAAATCTGACTGATCACTAGATGACAATCGAGCTTCGTTCGACGCCATAAAAATGTAGGTCAAGTCCAGCATCCGAAGCAAGTCTGGTAGTGTCCATCCCTAGATGCAAGTTTGGTTCAGGTAGGGCTTATGGTTACTTGGGAATAAAATATAAGTCAGATCCAGCAATGGACCTGCTCCAAAAACTTGAACCTGGTCACTCATCTGTTTAAATAGGTGTTAAAATTCATTTGGGATTTAGTTCCAAAAAAATAATAACCTGGTTACTTATTTAGAATATGTAGATAAGATCCAGTATCCAAAGCAAGTCTCGATTGTCCATTCTTTGATGCATCATCCATGCAAGTTAAACAGGCCTTCGAATTAAAGAGCTACTCCAAGAAATTTCACTGGTTACTCATCTGAAATTGTAGGCCAAATCTAGCACTGGAAGCAAATCTGGTAGGGTCTATCCCTAGATGTTTCATCATTGCAAATTATTTCCAGGTAAGACATATAGTTACTTGGGAATAAACGTGCTCCAAAAGCTTTGATTAATTTGGTCACTCACCTAAAACATAGGTAATTAGATTGTTCACATCAACGAATATTGTCTATAAGTAAGGCAAAGTCCCACAATTAACTATAATTCTAGAAATTTACATCCCAAAATGCAAAATTTATGCAATTTTGATCTGATTGGGCTTGCAATTACTTGGAAATAGTCTTATCCAAAAACTCCAACCAAATCGCCCATCAATAAAATATAATTCAAATCCAGCATCTGAAGTTTGAAAGTGTTCATCCCTTGATGCATCATTCATGCAAATCAAGTTAATATAGTATTTATTGTTTCTTGGTATTAAACTTGCACCCATAACTTTACCTGGTCCATTATCTGGAAAATATATGTAGGATCCAGCATCAAAAGTAAGTCTATCAGTGTTCATCCTTAAATGTAACATGCATGTTTGGTCATCATAGGGCTCATAGTATCTTGGAAATGAGAACTGCACAAAAAACATCAACCTGTTCACTCATCAAGAAAATGTAGGTCAGATCATGCATCCGAAGCAAGTTTGGTAGTGTGCATCCTTACGCATCATCCATGCAAGTTTGGTCTTCACAGGACTTAATAATTTCTTGGAAATAAGACTTACACCAAAAACTGCACCAAAAATGTTAACCTGCTCCACAAACATTAACCTGGTTATTTCTTCAGTGAAATGCAGCATTTGAAACATCGTCTGATCAATGTCACACACAAGAAGCATGTTTAATGCATGTATGATCATATAGGACATAGAACTACTTACAAAAAAAACCCCAAAAAACATTAAGGTATGACGCCGACAATGACACCGATGCCTTGGGTATCATGTAAGCTCCCCCATACTCGTTGAGGTGAGCTAAAAAAATGTAGGTCAAGTTCAGCATCTGAAGCAAATCTAGTAGACTAGTGTTTATCCCTATGTATCAACCATGCAAATTCGGCTCTGCTAGGGCTTGTAGTTACTTGGGAATGAACTGTTCCAAAAACCCTTAGCCTGGTCATCCATCTGGAAAATGTAGGTAAGATTCAGCATCCCGAGCAAGCCTAGTTGTTTGAATCATTGTAGTCATTTATGAAAAGTTTTTCCATATGCCATATTTGCAACAAGAACTTTATACAAGAGGACCTTGGGCCATAACGCTTATTTCATTCCTATGCAATACTTTGACC